GTTTTTTTCTCTATTAATATCAAATTAAAGAAATTGAATTATTCCGTAATTTTCTTTTTTTGAATTTATTTTAACATCTCATTATTTAACCGGTTTTAACTTTTTGTCGATAATAATAATAATTATTATCTTTTGTAACAACTACTTCCTTTCGCGATGTGAAAATAAAATAATGCAATTTTAAACGAGAAAACAACAATGGAAAACAACAACAACAACAAAAATCAAATATTTTTTCTATAGGTATGAAAAGAAAGAAACATTTTTCTTAAAAAAAAAAAAAAAAAACGATCTTTTTGACCGCTAAAAAAACTGTTATCATCATCATCGTCATCATCCTCATCGTCATCCTCATCATCCTCATCATCATCATCATCGTAAATTAATTTAACTTGTTCATGAACTTGAAATAACACATACAACATACGGCAATAATAGAATCCGCCGAGGGATTTCCCAAAAAAAAAAAAAAAATATTATTATTATTTTTATTTTTTTCGCAAAACAGGATTTCAATGTGTTTGAATCAAACAAATAATAATAATAATAAAAAAACCCGAGAAATTTGACGACCTTTAAGAAAGTTAATAATAATTTTTACTCATTCATTTTCTTCGGTGTCGGATGTTTAAACAATGTCTGTCATGTTTTCTCTCTCTCTCTCTCTCTTTTTTTTTTTAATAAGCTCAAATCATGCAAATTAAATATTATTTTTTATTATTTTTCTCATGGAATATTTTTTAAAAATAATAAACAATAAAAATTCAACTTAAAAAATAACGATTCTTTATAAAGGGAAGAAGTGGTAATGATGTGTGGTTATTTCTCTGAAAAAAAAAAAACATGGAAAAATGGCAGAAACAAGATTTTTAATGGCGGTTTTTTTTTTTTTTTTTTTTTAAATATCCGTTAAGAATTCGTAATGCTTAAAAAATCTTAGTGTTATTATTATCATTTTTTTTTTTTCAAGTCTAACAATTTTAAATCACCTTAAAATATTTTTGACGGACAATATTTTAACATTCTTTTTAGTATGAGGCAAAGCATTCAAGATCCTGAAAAAAAAAATATTTTTCTCGCCTTTTCCTCTTTCATTCTATTTTTCGATCTATTTTTTACTCCCTCTTTTCCAAACCGGTTAATTAATTAACGTTGTGGGAAAATCGACGGCAGAAATATGTGCCGCAAAAGAAAGCATTGAAAATGTTACAATTATTATTCTACACGGGTCCTTGAATTTGATGCCAACACGACCAAACTCGTATACATATGTATCTAATATTATAACTTCCTGTATCAGAACAGCCTCAAATTGAGTTAGGTCATACCGGCTTTATTAAACGGGCTGTTTTATCCGGGGGCAAGGTAACCAACCGTCAATCGCCATTACAAAAAAAAAAAAAAAAAAAAAAATTATTCTTAGCGAACCAGATTTTTTGTGACTGCTTTTTTTTTTGTTTGTTTGTTTTTAATTTCCCCCCTCACCCCGGAACTTTTAACGTGGAAAGAGAATGTTGATTTAAATCTCATATATTTGTGTTTTTAATACGTGACGATCAGAAATCGATTGTTATGATTATTATTATTATTATTTAAATTACCTGAGTACGTATAAGAATTTATTTCGATCGAAACCAATATTTTACCGAGTATGACACATCTCCGGATCTATTACCACGTAATCCTAATTTTAAACAATTATACAAATCGACAATAAGACAAAAAAAAACGAAAACGCCAATGAAAAATCATATAAAAACTATCATTATGTTTTTACATAAACACATTTCGTTCATCTATCTTTTAGAGCAATATTTGGAATTTTTTTGATATGATATTGGCAAAAAAAAAAAAAAATTAAAGCTTTATCCGACATGTTTTGACTCGGAATGACATTTCCCTTGTACCATATTTATCATTTCACAAGTAAACCTTAATATCAATTGTAATAATAATAATAATAAAATTGCTCAACAAAGGATTAAACAATGAAATAAATTAAAGTTTTTTTTTTTTTTTTGATTCCAATGAGGTAATTGACTTTTTCGAAAGGCAATAAACTTTTATGATGATTCAATTAAATACGTAATGTGTCGTTTAATAAAGATAGATATAACAACAATTCAAAACAGAAAAAATAATCGCGATTTTAACCGTCTCGCATGTTTACTAAACACGTTCGCGTAAATAAATTATTTATACTCATTTTTGTAAGTAGCAAAAATTACGAGGCGGAAAATCACGATAAATTGACTCATTGAATTAATGAACAATAGAGAATTCATTACTACTTCGATTAATTTAAAATTTTTCCCCCAAATCGACTCTCTCTCTCTCTCTCTCTCTCCCCTTAACTTTAATTATTTTTACCATTTTTTTTTTTTTTTGTCGCAGGATGTTCATAGCGTCGAATCTCAAACAATCGACTGGAGAATTCCTCGACCAGTACTATACACAAGCAGTAGCAAACCTGAATCATCCGTTTACACTAGTAATTACGAGAGAAACATAAAATCAATATACGGACTAGAAAATGGTTTTAAAGATAAAGTTAATTCCGTAGAAATTAATATTCCACAACAGGAGCATTGGTTTAGTACAGGAAGCTCGAGTGCTTCCAGCTCAAGGGTGAGTCAGTCAAACTATCTCTTTTTTTTTCTTTTCTTTTTTTTTTTGAATTTCACACCACCAATTTTTTATTTAATTTTCATTCTCTTTACAGACAGCTAGTTCTGGTTCGCTATTATTAACTCCGACCAATTTAAACAATTTAAAATGTGATCCGATAGTAGAAAAACCACCCGACACTCAATCTATAGCTTCTAGTACGCATTTTACTTTAGTGAACGGTAAGTTATCCCTTATGATTTTAAACGCAATATCAATTTCCAATCAATAATCAATTAAAAGCCAAAAATTCAATTCTCACTATTTACCACAATTCTTTTGTTTTTGTTTCTCTTACGAACACGTGCATAAACTACATATATATACATTAGTAAAAATAATAATAATTTAACAGTAAGAAAAAAATAAAAAAGTAATTATAATAACCGTAGAAGTTAAAATTAACAAGGTCTTTTGTGTTCACATAAATACCATGTATTAAAACAAATAATTTAATTCCTCTTAGTATCGTTTACCCGAGAAGCCAAGGAAACGTGAAAAACATAATTTCTATAAAATTGAGGAAAACAAAAAAAAAAAGAAAAATTTTTTAAAAACGGGTCAAGTCAAATTAATAAAATAAATTTCAATTTCAGTCGAGTTGATTGCTGTTTTTTTTCTCTTTTTTTTTCAAAAAATAAAAATTAATTACAAAAAAAGAAATATTAGCCGAAGGTAAAACAAAATTAAAAAAAAATTTTCTCTTTGTTTCAGGTATAACACTACAAAAAAAATCATTGTCGCGTTGCTGTACAAAAAGTCGTCAATTACCAGTTTTAGTTATAACAATGACAATTATTTTATTTTGTGGTATATTAGGAGCAATTGCATTTGTTGAAAGTAAGTTAAGGAGTTAAAAAATAAAATTTTACCCTTCCCTTTTGCCCCTGCCCCTGCCCCCCACCTCACTCTACCCTACCCCTCAAAAAAAAAAACCTTGATTTTAATTTTTTCTTTTCATTTCTTTTCTTTACAGTGAGAGCAATGGATTTGAGGCATCCATAAATTGGAATGAATTTAAACAAACTCATAATCATAAATCATGCGCTCATCCAACACATTTTTTTAATATTATTTATGTACATTATTTAAAATTTAAAAAATCGTCTTTCATTTTTTTTGTATCTAGTAATTTTTAATTATTATTTTATTATAATTATTAAATTCTTTTTTTTTTATTAAACAACATGTTGTTGTTGTTTTTTTTTTTTAATATGACGTTATTTACTAAACTACAACCGGAAAAAACCTTTTTCCCAAATATGAAATAACAATGAGTCAACAAGTTTGTCATATTATCAATTTAGGTAAAATTCAAACGCTTTAAAAACTTTTTCGTTTTACATTTTGCATCGAAATGTTTTTTTTGTAAGAAGGATATGAAAAAAAAAACCTGCAAATAAGTAGGAGGGCCACTTGGTCATATTAGACAAACACAAACTAAGAAAAAGAAGAAGAAAAAATCCACGGACAAGTGAATGCCTTTTATTCGATCTTGGGATGGTTTAAAAAAAAAAACAAAACAAAGAAACAAATATATAATCTATCATGTATTCTATCGCGCTTTGTCATAATTAATGAATAAGTAATATAAAATGGAAAGAATAAATTATTTTTACGTTATGAAAATATAAACCGAACAATTGATACAATTGAATGCATAATATTATTTTAATTATGTTACCCTAAGGGATAAATAAATTAAAATTTTCATTTGAAAACTCATGAAAAACATTGAGATGGTACAGAAATTGAACTACAAGCAGAAACCTTTACATAAAACGCACTCACAAAGCAGGTAAAATTTATACATAAATATTATTTAACAAAATAATTTTGAAATTACTGCTCAAAATTTTTTAAAAATTAAAAAAATATTCAATAGAACCCAAAGACAAATGAAACTCAAATTTAACACCATTTAAACAAATCCTAAAAAAATTTTCTTCATTATTTTAATAATGTAGGTAAATTAATAGTAAAATCATTGTAAAAAAATAAACTGAGCACAATGCTGTCATAATTTTTAAATACCTCATACTATTAATGTAATAAAAAATAAATTTTATACTTCCAAAAAGAAAAAAAGTAAAATATAATGCCATCTAGCAGCCATGTAAAGAACTTCTAATACCGAATCAACTGTTCAGACAAACAGTATCATAAAAAATATGAAATTTCCAAATTGAATTAAAGATTGCTTTATCGTTAAAATATAAAATTTCATAAAAAGAATAATAAGTTGTAAAACATTGTAGGGCTCTTTCAAATGAAAACTCAATACTCAAATATGATTGACCCAATGAAAAAAAATAATTGTTTTAAAAACTTACCTCGATTTCTGCAAGTGTCTGAACCCATCTGTAATTAGGTAAATCACAACCGTTTCCTGCATTTGGAACGATTTTGTTTTTTTCTTTGGGATCATCCTATAAAAAAAAAATATTATAGTATGTAAAGCAAATATTTTACAAAATATAAATTATTTTGAAAAATAAAACATGAGTTAATAATGTGTAAAAATTTATTAAAAAAATTTTAAAAAGTTATCGATTTTCAATTGAAAACGAAATTAAAGTGGTAACATTGTGAAAGTCATAACAATCTATAAAACGTTTTTAATAATTTTAGAAGTTAGCTATGAAAGAACTAACACACAAAAAAAAAGGTGCCCATTAATTCTGTGTTCATTAACTGCAATAAAATTTGAAAAAACAAATAATTGAAATAAATGTGAACACTGTGGTAAAAACGAAAAATGTCGAAACATACTCGTGATTAGTGAAATATTAAAAATTTATAAAAAAAAATGTAAGGTTTTTTTACAAATCAACAATACCTCTTCATCATCCTCGGCTTCTTTGGCATCTCCAGTACCATCCACTTTATTATCATTATTAGTCTTTTCCCTCAACTTTTTCATTTCAATTTCTTTTTCTAATTCTTTAGCTTCTTCATCTGTTAATTCTGTAATTTTATTACTACTGTTTTGCATGGCTTCATTTTTTTGTTTTTCTTTCCTTTGTCTCTCGAGTCTTTCCCTCTCTTGTTGCTTTTTTAATTTTTCTTCAGCTGCTATTTTCTTGTATTTTTTGAAACTTGTTAAAACTAGTTGCTCAGCACGTCCTTCATCATTTGTGTAAAAGTCTGTTTTTGTAGCAAGAAAATTAAATACTGTATCCATAAACTGAAAAGAAAATTTTCAAAGTCAAATAAATAAGTAAATGAAATTCAATTCTTAAATATCATTCAAAATTTTAAAGAATATCCCTTCATTAAAATGCACAAACTTTTAATAATAATAAATTTTGTAATGCTCATATTGAATAAAATTTTTAACATTACAATAACTTTATGTAATATTGCACATGTTGGTTAGTTTTTCCAAATGGTTTAAAAAATTAAAGAACTTACTTCTTGAATTCCACCGCTTTGAGCAGCAATGGAAGCCAACATTTTATCAAAAGCTTCAGTATTATTTTCGTTCATTTTGAAAATGCTACAAATCAAATTTCTGTATAAAAACTAGTTTGCTGTAAACGAAATTTCGTTTGTTTTCTAGAATTCAACACCGACTTAGTTTTAAAAGAGGTAACTATGACGTCACATTAAATATTAATGACTCAGTTTGAATCAAAATATTAATTCATAAATAAGTTTTGAACTAATAATATGATTTTAATTGAAAAAAATTTATTTGAAAAAGAAAATTGACTTTAATATTTAATTTAAAATTAAAATTTTGACAATCACAGATATTATAAAAACCACAATTTATGACATCACAGAAATATTCTTCTCTGAACACAGAGTATTTTAACGTGTCTTTAGACACTAAAGTTTTCATAGAAATTAGTCAATCAAAAAAGTCGTTACTTCTTGAAATTTCTAGAACAAATTTGTTGTGGAACATTTAAGTACAATTTTTTTTACATTTATTTTAAATATTAACTTTAAAAATCACAATGGAAAGACATTTGTTATTGGTAAGTCCATAATTTTAGTTAAAATAACCTCAAATCTAGTGCTTTTTTAAAATTATAATTATAAAAAATGTTTAGAAATGTAACAGAAGCGGTTGGTAATATAATGTAAGTTTCAAGTAATTCTTTCCTAATTTTTACTATAAGGTTTATTAAATTTTTCAATAACTTTTCCCAAAGAATACATGGATTTAAAGCAATAAAAACTTTATGATCTGCAGTTGCAGACCAAGAGCATAAAATGTAGTCCAAAGGGCCTACATAATAATAATAATATTAAATTTTATAGAAATTATGTTTGATGTAATTATATAAAAATGAAAATAATTAAATTTAAAAATAAAAATTATATTGCATTACAATGATGAAAATAAAAAAAAAAAAAAATGCATTTATAAAGTGTGATTTTGAATTATTTAATTAATTGTATTATTTAAATATTAATAAGGTAACTTACATAAGCATATATGGTAATAGTACAATATACATATAAAAGGTAACATAAGCATACTTTTAGACTAGGTAAAATTCAAAATGTTAATAAAATATTTAATAATAAAAAAATCATTAATGATTTTTCAGCAAAAATGGTTATGACAAATTTTTTTTTTTTTAAATGTGCAAACTTGTATGTGCACACAAGTTACAAAAAATGTTTTACAATAATTAATAATAATCTAAGCATTACTAATGATTGTATTGTTTAGTATACATATTTAATAAAAAATTTTCATAGCACAATAAAAAGCAATTATAATGACATTTTTTTTTTTGTTTAATTTTACAATAACAAGCTTTCTGAATTTGATAAATATAAAAAAATTGTTTATTTGGTTAAAATTTTGTTGGCTTTTTTTTTTAAAGCCATTGCATTCTGTTATTAAAGTTTTTCATTTCAATTATTTTATATATAAAATATTTTTTAGACATTAAATAATAAATTTTAATTAAATTTTGTTTTTATATACTTTGCACATGATATAATAATAATTTTAATGTTAAAATTTGAATTTTAAAACAATATAAAATGCAATAAGAAAACATTTATTATTATTTGATTCAGTTATACTTTTTTTTTTTTTTTTTTAAATTTTTTACATGCAATAAATAACAATTTATAAATGTAATTAATTCAAATTTAAATTTTTCTCATCAGTTTTTAGACAAATAAATATAATTAATTATTTTTTAATAAGTAAAATTATCACATTAGTAAAAGCTATATAAAAACAGTACACATACAAAGAACAAAAAGCTTTTTAAGGCTTTAGAAATTTTTTATTTTTTTTATTTTTCAATTGCCTAAGGAGCAATTTTTTCAAAAAATTATTTTAAATTCATCTTTGGTTTTACATTTGTCCTACAAAAAACTATTTAAATGAGTTATTATGAATTTTTTTTTGTTTTAAATGGAATGTTTTTTGTATTAAAAAAAAATTTTTTTTTTTTTTTGGTTTTTCTATTTCTGTACATAATTTTCATCCGTTTCTTTAAGTTCTTGTGTCAAATCAGTATGTAATCTTAGCCATTGAATGGATTGCCTTGAATCTAGAAAGAAAAAACAAAAAAAAAAAAAAAAAACAATTTTTATAATAAAAACCAATTTTTTCAAAAATTTTTTTCACATAATAAGTTAAATGCATACGTATTCATACTTTTAATAATTTCAATTTGTTCTTCTTATTAAATGTGTTATTACTAATGATAATAAATTTTCTCTTTACATAAACATATGCACTATAACTAAACGATTTACGACACTTTATTTTTCCCTATAACTAATAAAAAAAAAAGAAATCATGAAATTAAAAATTTATTATTTAGTAATTATTATACCACATAACCAATTAATAATAAATAAATAAATTAGTAACCAAGCTAATCAATACTACAAACTTTGGCAATACAACAAAGAAGAAATTTTTAAAAAAAATTTCTTGTTATTAAACATTAATTTTTAGAGGGAAAACAATTCAAAACAAACTAAAACAAACAACAATATACCGACTAACAAACAATATTTACAACATTTAAAGCTGTATTTTATATATATGTAAAATAATTTTTATTTTTAATTAACGTACCTGTATAAATTTATTTTATGGATATACGTATTTATAAATAAAATAATTCACTGATTCTAAACAAAAACATTTTTCAAAAAAATTAATAAATAAATAAAATTTATGTAAGAACTTTTAACTTATTATTATTATTTTTTTAAATGTTATTTTTATATAGCTTTTATTTAATGATAAAAATTAATTTTTCATTTTTTTTTTTTATTCATGTATATCAGGTTAAAAAAACTACAATTTGATGTTTTTTAACCTTTTATTTACAATAAAAAAAATTAAAATTTGTAGTAAATATTGTAAATATTTAATTGAATTGTTTACATAAAATCATATGTATATACAGAGCAATTTATTATTCAATCAAAGTTTAAAAATGAATTTTTTTTTTTTTTTAAACTTATAATTAAATTATCATCATTATTACCCC